CGCGTCGTCACTGGGCAGCGGAGAGCCTTTCAGAGCGAACAGACGAAGATATCTCAGCACGTGATGTCAACGAAACTGAAGACCACGCACAACACCTTGGCGAAATTTCGTCACCAGTCCGACTTGCTTCCGCGACATCCATGTCGTCTCAATCAACGAGCCCAGATCTTTTTGAAACTAATAGCATAAGTGCAGTCTGTAACTTGTCTTCTGGCTGCGACGCTCAACGCGTACATCAAATAATGTATGTCACACAACAAAGGATATATTTGAATATGTTTTGGAGCTAGCATATAGCGTAGGCTAGACAGTAGCTGTACACATGTTCGATAAGCTGAACTGCATTGTAAATCACTTCGTTGGTACACTGATGACTAGCAATACAATTCGTCGAGTGGCGTGGTGTTTTCTGCGGCTAATAGCGAGGACTTGGCGATGGAGTGCAGCGTCCTCGAGTGAAGGTTCACCGTGGTAGGCGCCCTGCAGATCCTCACGAACTCGTAGAACAATAAGCCAGTAGGCCGGGACAGATTCCTCAATAAAGACCACAAGGTTATTCTTATGGTAACTCCTTGCATGCCTGTACTTTCTAATAGGTGATTATGTCCCTACATCTCGCCGACTCAGTGGCGGCATGCTTCGTTATTGATAGTTTTTGGGTATGTTCGTGGCGCAAAGTCACTGACAAGGACATGTGCCATAAACCGCTAGCCGGTGTGTTGACGAGGTAATAGATTGCCGCTTTAAACAACGAAAAAGTTGTTGCAACACGGATTTTGGAGAAATCGTTCGGCGGACGTAACGTACAATGTTTTGAAGGCCGGCATTAAAAAAAGCATTCAGCAATCTCCCTGTATTCATTGTAGCTTATTGATTTCAAGAATGCATTCAATCTTTCAGGCTACATAGGTAGTTTTATATATCCTGGCGTACATGCGTCAAATGCTGTGAGATATGCTCAACTTGTTAGCTGCGATATTACAGGAAAACAAGAGAAAATTAGACGACCCAGTGGTGGAGCTGCTCCTTTCTTTCAAATGTCGCGCCTGGCCCGTATTAATAGTAATAATTTGAGGCCCTCCTGTTTAACATCCGACTCAAGGATAGCTGTAACTAAATTGGGAGTTGAGGAAACCCCAGGTAAGTCCAGCGAGACCTACCTTACCTAAACTTTTAATGAGAACAGGTTTCTGATGGTGATTCTGAGCACTTGTATAACAGTAAGACTAGCCGAAAGGGTGAAAAATAAGATGACAGAAACTGAATTAGGAATAAGGGTAAACCTAAATAAGAAGAGCACTATTCAACAGGTGATATATTTATTACTGGCTCTCCCCTTCGGTACGTCAATATATTATCGTATATTAATAATTACTTCACACTTCGCGAAAAGATCCAAAAGAGCGTTGACCACATCATCTGCGATCGCCAAATAGTTTCCCCCTCGCGACAGCGCTTCGCCTATTTGGCCTGAAAGTAACGTCGGTAGCGGTTTGCGGGGTAAATATAATTCGAAAAGTCTAACAGTGTGAAGATTTCTTTCTTAGAGCGTGCTCTAAGCCTTCAGCGTACGGCCTTCAGGCAGACTAGCTTAGCTCATTGCCGAAGGTGCCGCTGTTCAAAGAAGATCTGAGACGTCGCTTTGGATTTCTGGCGACTGGGACCTTGGCCACGTGTTTCAGCAGGTGGAAACGTTGAAGGATAACGGGTGGAAAGAGCCGGACCGGACAAGCTGTTGCGTTGTGAAAACCCGTTTCATGATTCACGATTTTCCCCTTAATTTATGTTCAGATTAGCTGCTTTCATGAGCTTAACGAGGGGTGTATTTCTGTAGATGCTGAGGAATTAGGGGTAAATACCGCGCAGCAAATAGCTGCTCTCTAATGCTTTCGTTCGGAAATCTGGTACACTGACTTTCCCGCAAGTTGAGCGCTCATGCCATAAGCGTTGAAGGTTAAAAATGCTACAGCTCCCATGACATGTGAATGGATAATCATCATTGATCTTTGAGTGATATATAATTTTATTATTATGTGTGTTCGTGCGAAAATATTATTGAACGCATATGCCTTCAAAGCTGAACATCTGTTATTTATGTAATAACATCCTGACACTGAAAGAAACTTTTCGTCCTGGTTCAAAATCTGAAATTAATTGGGACTGCCTCAAGATATGTTTTAGTGAAGGTGGCCGACAAACAGACTGTGAATTGGTCAAGAAAGTAAATCGCAGTCATGTGACTATGGACCTGCATCTTGAACTCACAGATTTACTTAGGAAATTATAAATCGTCTTTTGTGAACTTGGTTAAGAGCACGAAAAAACACGGCTTTTCATTGCGTCTCAGTTTCGCGCTCGATCCCAAGTAATACGCAGCTTCAGTGGCAGATTTCTATATGAAATCGTTTATAAATTGCGTTTTATGTACTTGGAAAGTTTTTATACATTGGCGAACCCTTGAAGTGGACATGATGCTTTACAACCTTTTTACCTTCATATGGCCTGAATGTAGTTAGTGATCGAAGCTATCCAACGTAAAAAGCTCGATAGACAAGACAAAAATAACTTTTTCCACTGCATCGCTAAACCTCATAAAGGCCGCTCTGTAGGAGCTTAAGGGGATGCTCTCCTGACATGCATCTGTGACAATTTCTCTTTTCGAAGAACATTTCGAAAATACAGTTGATTTCTATTGAATAGCGTACAACACTCAAAACAAAAATCGAACTTATTTATGGTAGCATATCATCTTCTAGACAAATAAATACGGCAGATAATTCTCGATGCCGATGACCAAACTCGTAGGGACTTTTAAGAATCGAGTTGAGAAATGTAATTGTGCATAATATATGAATACTTGCGGAACACTCACAGATGTATCAATGGTACGCTGGAACACCAATTATTTCTCTATACCTGTATAACAATAATAAATGCCCATTTTAGCTCTTAGGTTCACTGATTTTTTTTCGTACTGCGCCAAGCACAAACTGTATTATACAAGCTATAAATGTATGTATATATATATGCCTGACACGTTCTAATCGCTAGACGTTTTTTGCATTTCATAGTTATATACGTTTTTATAACTAGAAGTAGCTCAGCCGAAATTGCTCTACGTCGAAACATGAATTACCGATGAAATAAAAACACAATGAAGCATTTCCGCAGTCAATAATAACAAGCAATTCTGAATATATTACAACTTATTAGAATTATGTAGCATCTGTGAACGGTAACTTCGTCTGTTTAGAGTAAGGAATACACTTGAATAGTTTACGATGCTGGTGCATAATCGTTTTGTACATGAACGCGCAGAAAATATACCTACGTTCCAATTATGAGTCCGTAAGGCTAGTTTTACGATTTATTCGGTATTTCTAGGTATAGAACGCTATCTAGTAAAGTAAAGCACGACCCTCTCTGCATTGCTGGAGCCTGTTTGTTCGCTTTAAGGTTGGACGAAGTTAACAGTACGGGTAAGGCAAATGTCACTAGTCTTTCAACGGGTCTGAAGCTGTCCGACGATTGCATGCGATGAAATCTACCTATAATAAATTTAGCTTCATTTTTCACGTGAGGCGCGCTGTGAGACTTCGGTTTATACCTATTATTAATCAGGTTCTTCTCGAAATATCCGCTGTGGTGGCAGAGGCAACAGCGGATGTCACATCAACGAAGGAAATTGGCTACCAGCTAATGGCAGCAGAACGTTTACCAAACACGTCAGACGCGCGAATCCAGCTAATAGACATGTTTTTGTGGATTGATCTTTTAATAGAAAATATCAGTTTTTCGAAACCTATGGCAAGTAGCCAGTGGTATGCAGAGAAGCTAAAAAAACATCATATAGTTTAAGAACGATTGCGTCTTGTTGTAATATTATCGAATTTTTTGTACGGTCATTACGAATGTATAAATTTTATATGTAAATAATTATCCCAGCCCTTTTTTAACTAATGTACCTTACGCTAAAACACACTGCGATTTTATAGCGATTCGTACATGTAAATATTTTATTTATAGTAGATGTACGGCAAAAAGTTCCCTACAGAACTGCAGCACCGATTCGCCCTATAATAGATGACGTGTCTCCGAATGGACGGCATAGTTCTGTCAGAATTTATTTATGGACTAATCAATCTTTATTCATCTGCGAAAAGGCATGTATTACACAACTAAAAGAGAGGACGAACAGTCATCAAGGCAGCGTATGCCTGTCGCGTCCGATCAAATCAAAACGCTTTCTCCGAAAAGCACGGAATGTCTGAAAAAAACATCAATTCTTCTACCGGATGGGTGATTTTTTTAAAAAGCACCGTTTAAACATCCTAACTCGTCGACCGCGAGCTTTACATCCGGAATTGTTCTTAGGTATTCTATCAGACGCCTGACTGGCTTCTAGCACGAAGCGAAGCGTGTATCTATGCCCTGCGGATTCGAACCTAAACCGCAACAGGTCCCTAAAATTAGCAGGCACATACGTTACCCATGAAGCTATTACCGGGACCCTATATCCTAACCTATCCACAGTCCTTAGCTCATAACAGTATGTTTAATTTGAATTTCGCCTCTCGCAGCCGAGATTTAACTGTGCTCTTCCATCAAAACGACTATCCTAAATGTTGAATAGTGCACCATTAAGGAATGTACTGTAGTTGATGGACACTGTAAACTGATGGTCTGCAAAAGCGTATATGCTACATGGCTATTGATTAGTCTACCGGTCTCTTGGTACATTTGCAATAACAAGTCTTAGTTTTACACGTTTTTTGTTCTTGTTCATTGTCTCGTTTATTAATTGGGCATCATTTTCATAGACATATGAATAGACTATATATTTACGTTATTAATAGTAATAAATACGTTAATAGGCAACGTCGTTAAACGTTAGAACATCGATAAGCATTTTGAAGAATAACGTCTGTCGATTTATCGTCATTGGCAGATGCTGCTGAGTCTAATGTACAGCCGTATTTGGCAACGCTAGAATAGTTCTGTTCTTTTTTAGTTACGGGTAAATTTCTATCGATGGCAACTTAGATCCCTCTACGTCGTGCGCCTGATCCGATAGACTGACTGGCGTCGCTGAAAGATTGAACTGACAGTTGGTACATTAGCATGTATATGTATCGTAATGATTATATAGCTGGTAAATGTAAGACAGGGCCTACGTCGGAAACGAATCTGTGTTAGCTAGTCCAGATTATAGGATGATTTTTACTTTAGATACGCACAGTCACATAGAGTAAAATCACAATTATTTGTGAGCATACTAGACACAGCGTTGTCATCTACCTCTAAAAAATTATCTTCCCTATGCGACTATGTTAAACAACTCGGATAGGGTAGTAATAGATAGACCTTGTAAAATGTATCAGCTCTATCACTGAACAACAAGGCTGTGTTATCGTAATTAATAACAGCTGTCAAGATCGCTTCATCGAACGAAACTCTAAATTGCATGAAGTGAAGGTCCCTGCGCCTTAGGGAGGAGAAAGGATATACCGGTGAGCATGAACGGTTGCCATTTCAAGCAGGTCAAATCCATTAGGTGGTAAAAATTACTTTTAACAAAAGTTTAATGTACTAAACAGAGGTAGGTCTCGTATCGATATGGCTGACGTCGCACGAGCTTCGACCTTTCACAAGATAAAACTGTTCTAATAGGATTCGCTTTTTTAAATTTGTTAATTTTGACCAACCGTTTTAGCGGATTCTGCTTTTCGAAAATAAATACCAACTAAAGCGACATCTACATCGTCGTTGAGCCACCACAGAGATGTTTTTTCTTTTGTGTGTGTCTGTATCGATTACGATATAATAGTCATTGTCCGTACGACCGCTTTTTTAGGGGATACTTGTTGCTTTTGTTATGCGTTGGGCATTAGTACACAACGGTAGGTGTAGCTGTTAGGTTAATTGTAGGTGCCATAGGCGGATAATAGGGTGTGGTACAGAAGCCGACACTGCACACTCATGCTGAAATCCAGAAAGAAAAAGGCAACAAAGATTCACGTTAAACCAACCGAGCATCATAACCTGATTTATTATCAAAGTAATTTATATAAGTGCGTTACACTATTTGATTTAATAAAAACCTTATTTAATTAATTAAATTAAAAAGACCTTAATGAACATAATGATTTGCATTATGCACATGCCCTGACTGTACGCATTGCCCTTCGTATACCTTCGTTTAAAAATCTTCGAAATGCCATAGTTGTTTACGAAACATTTATAAAACACATTAAAATGGCACTATTATGCAATGAACGTGGAATAATAACTTATTTCGTACCTCACATAATATGTACGTTATATATGATAGATAAAGATGTTTCCAAACACCACGGGTTGTTATGGTGAAAATACTGACCAAGCTATATATTCAACCAGACGCTTCGAAATGATTAGAGAAGGAAAACTATAGCTTCTTATCCATTTCGTACAGATCAGCGATAGCGGAACTGATGAGCGGCCATCGCAGATCACCCTGTTACTAAACTGTTCGTTTCTAAAAATCAGATCGCTATGATTAAAACGTATAATTTGTAAACAAATAGCAGAATACATTAGAATATGTTTGGTAGCAATTGAAAACATGACCTCAGGTCTCACTAAACAGGTATCATCGAACAGCAAGCACAATTACCTGACTGAACTGTAGTTTATGACGTTCTCGTTAGAGTAATATGGTCACTAAGTTGAATAAAAGGCACACGGCCGTCGTCTCGTCCAAGTACATATATGGCCGCGCTATAGTAAAAAAGAGCTTACCCCCTGAATTCTTTTATGGCCATATACATCATAGATACGTGAAACAAGTTACAAAAGTTTAAAAGAAAAAACAATTAGCTCGTATAACAATTCATAGATAATATTAATGATAAACCCGCATCTATTTCCGGTCGCTATTAATTGCCTTATGCCTATAAGTGTATAAGGAATTTTAAACCTTAAAGCCTCACTCGTCTTCAGCTTGTTCGTCAACTTCCTCAGCGCCTTCAACTAGTTCAGGTGGGGGTGCACCCTGCTTAACAATTTTTCGTCGTGTTCTACGTATAACTTCATAGCTACCATTTGGCTGCTCTGTGACAATTTCCTCAGTATGCACAATTTCGCCTTCGCCTTCACCTTCGTCTTCCGCCTCGTTATCCCGACCCTCTAAAACGTTCTTGCGGATTTCTATCGTACCATCTTCATTCTGCACTGTTACCTCCTCGGTTATTCCAATTAGTTCATTTTTCTCTACGACCGTTTCCAACACGTCAACTCCATCCTCGCCTACGAGTTTCTTCGACACCCTTTTAGCATCGACCCCCTGTTGTTTCCCATTGACCTCATTAGATTCTCCCTCACCTTTCTCAACTGATGCCGAACGACTTTTCTCGTACAGGAACTCCTGCGCGATTGCACGCACGCACGTAAATGTAGAAAGAGGTAAATGTATTAACGCTTTGAAACACGATAGTAAAATCAGAATGTAATGCTATGGATTGATATGATGTAGACGGTCGTTGGACAATACAAATATCACGGTTTTTTGGCACATCTATATTCCTAACTTATTTAGACTAGTACATGTCTTGTACTTGTAGGAAACTTACGAATTCAGCAGGATCAAGCTTGAGAAACCAGGGCAATCGATCCGATTCTGTCGCGGCGTGGAAATCTTCGAAGCTCTGAAAACCACCGTAACAGAAAATGCGCCCAACAAGTGGATGATGGGTTTACCTTGAATTTTGAATGCTTGTTGTAAACACCATAGGCTGGTGGTACTTTCCACACAATAAGTACCGTTGCCTGCGGAGTCGCGTGCATTCTAACATATATAT